CAAAAGTAAGAAAAGCTCAGGCATTTCCATTACGGTGTGGTCTTGGCTTAGCTGAGTGGTCAGGCAGTGGGGGCCGAGCCTCATGCTTAGTTTATCAGGAGGGGTGGGGTTTGGGGTGCGGGTGGCTAAGGTGGATGCACTGAGCACTGTCAGGCTGCCTGGCTTGAGGCGTTGGGACGGAGAAGGCTGTACAGACTTAGTCACTCACGCAGTTGGCCCTGGGATGAGGCAGAGCAAGAGAAGTGGGGGAGCATCTGTCCACTGGTCCCTCGATCCAGGGTGTGCCCTCCTAGCTGCCAAGCTCTTCTGGGTTGGGCATGAGTGGGCACCGAACAGATTCCCATGCAGGACACCAGCAACCTGAGGGCAGGAGACAGTGGGGGTGAGGGGAGTGTGAGGCTGCAGTGCCAGCTGGGTAAGAATATGGGGCGGTCCAGAGGACTGGGGGTGCCCTGGAAGTGTCCGATCTCTCTGCAGACTCACACCCTTCCTGGTAGCTGCCGCCCAAGCCCTGTGGATGGGTGCCTAGCCCTTTTGCTGGTGGCACTCGTCCTGGGTACTCTACCTGCAGCCCAAACACCACCACCGATTTGGTTGTTGAATGGGGTCTCTTACTGATTGTCTTCCCTCCGTAACATACCTGTTTCCCCAAAGGATGAAGAGGCGGTGAAGAAACTGACAGTGAACCCTGGAACCAAGTCCAAGCTCCCCAAGCCGGTGCAGAACCTCATCAAGATGATCTTCGACGTGGAGAGCATGAAGAAAGCCATGGTGGAGTATGAGGTGCGTCCCGAGTGTCCTGTCCGAGCCTTTGCCGGGGGCAGTGGAGTGCTGAGCTGGTGACGCGCTCAGTGGCTCTTACTGGATTCGGCTTCTTTGCCTGTTCTTAAGCCTGAGGTAGAGGAGGTGTACTGAGGCCTGGGTGCTTGCAGAGGTGTGTTGGAGAGTGTCCCCTGGGTTCCTGGTCCTCCTGCACTTTGCTCCTCCTTGTTGCCATGGTAGCGTCAGTAGCATCTTCTCTGTGGCCCAACAAGCAGGCAGTCCAGGGCGCAGCCCACTCCAGCAGAAGAGCTGCTGTGATCACTGTTGGCAAAAGTGCAGGGAGCTTCTGACACTTGCTCGCAGATGAAATTCATTCCAGCTGTTTTAGGAAGAGGTTGGGCCCAGGCTGAGTGAGGGGGTGGGATGGGGGAGGGTTGAGTCCCTCCCTCTGTCCCAGCTGGACTGTCCCACATGTCATGGGGGGGAGGTTTGAGCCCCTCTCTCTGTCCCAGCTGGACTGTCCCACATGTCTTTCCCAGCTTCCTGTACTCTGGTTTTTCTGTGATTTACAGAAATCCTCACCTATTGTCAGACCCAAGTGTGTATCTTCCTGTGGAATGACACCATGATGCTGTTTTTCACTCAGACGAACAACTAGTTTTGCAGGAGGAAAAGGGCTGGGGCCCTGCCTGGAACAGGCTAGAGGCAGCCCGTGAACAGTGGAGAGGAGGGTGCTGCCCCTTGCCTGGCAGGTTCCCCATGGGGTCGGGTAACCAGGTGGATAGTGAGCATGGTAACAACCCTGGGAGCTTTATGCCTAGGAGGGACACCTGGTGCTGCCTGCAAGGTGAATTCTGGGCCCAGAGCAGAGAGGTGCCAGGAGACGGAGGATGCTACACCTGGAAGCCTCCCTGTGCTGCAGAGGCAGCTCCTGGGCCCCGGGCATCTCCCACTCGCCCAGCTTCCTGTACTCTGGTTTTTCTGTGATTTGCAGAAACACCATGCTGCTGTTTTTCACTCAGACGAGCAACTAGTTTTGCAGGAGGAAAAGGGCTGGGCCCTGCCTGGAACGGGCTAGAGGCAGCTCGTGAGAGGTGGAGAGGAGGATGCCCGCCCCTTGCCTGGCGGGTTCCCCATGGGGTCGGGTAACCACGTGGATAGTGTACATGGTAACCCTGGGAGCTTTATGCCCAGGAGGGGCAGCTGGTGCTCCCCGCGAGGAGGTGAATTCTGAGCCCAGAGCAGAGTGGTGCCTGGGGACGGAGGATGCTACCCCCAGAGCCCCGCTACGCCCGGAAGCCTCCCTTTGCTGCAGAGACAGCTCCTGGGCCCCGGGCATCTCCCACTCACAGTTCCTCCCAGAGCTGAGCTGCCGGAGCCGCTGCCCCGCCTGTGGCAGTGCTGACTCCGCCTCTTGTTCCTAGGGCCCGTGTGTGTGTGTTTTGAGGGTGCAGATTAGAGAGACCCGTCTTTTTAAAATAAACATTGAAATGCACCGCTTGGAGAGCCTGCTCACGGCTCCGGTCACGCTGCCCTGGGTCAGCACGTCTCCTGGAGTTCCTCCCTTAGAATTGCTTTCAGAACCACGCTGTACTTCATGCTAAAGATCGGTTTTTATCACGTCTCCTTGGTTCAAAGCGGATTGTCCACCGTCTTCCCCAGAGTTAGTTCCAGCTACTTAACTGTCCCCACCAGCCAGGCCCCTCGGGATCGGCGGCACCGCGAGTGCAGCGGCACGTGTGCGCCCGGGCTGGTAGCCATTAGATGCCGGCCCCGCTGGCGCCTGGTGAACGGTGAGCACGTCCGTGGCTTGTTTCATTTACTCCCCGCGGTGGTTCCGTGTCTCAGGTGCTTGTTGGTTCCATCTGTGTCCCGGGCACTGCAGGTGTGCCCTGGGTCAGCACGTCTCCTGGAGTTCCTCCCTTAGAATTGCTTTCAGAACCACGCTGTACTTCATGCTAAAGATCGGTTTTTATCACGTCTCCTTGGTTCAAAGCGGATTGTCCACCGCAGAGGCAGCTCCTGGGCCCCGGGCATCTCCCACTCGCAGTTCCTCCCAGAGCTGAGCTGCCGGAGCCGCTGCCCCGCCTATGGCAGGGCTGAGCCTCGAGTCTGCTTGGTGTCGGGGCGGCCGGTGCTGACTCCGCCTCTTGTTCCTAGGGCCCGTGTGTGTGTGTTTTGAGGGTGCAGATTAGAGAGACCCGTCTTTTTAAAATAAACATTGAAATGCACCGCTTGGAGAGCCTGCTCACGGCTCCGGTCACGCTGCCCTGGGTCAGCACGTCTCCTGGAGTTCCTCCCTTAGAATTGCTTTCAGAACCACGCTGTACTTCATGCTAAAGATCGGTTTTTATCACGTCTCCTTGGTTCAAAGCGGATTGTCCACCGTCTTCCCCAGAGTTAGTTCCAGCTACTTAACTGTCCCCACCAGCCAGGCCCCTCGGGATCGGCGGCACCGCGAGTGCAGCGGCACGTGTGCGCCCGGGCTGGTAGCCATTAGATGCCGGCCCCGCTGGCGCCTGGTGAACGGTGAGCACGTCCGTGGCTTGTTTCATTTACTCCCCACGGTGGTTCCGTGTCTCGGGTGCTTGTTGACTCCATCTGTGTCCCGGGGATGCAGAGATGGGTGAGGTGGGGTCTGGGCCCCGGAACAGAGGATCCATTGGGAAGAGCCCCAGAGACAGTGTCTGAGGATACAGAGTGGGGTCCCCTGCGCACAGATGTGTGGGGGCCGGTGAGCAGTCCAGGCAGGTCACTCACGGTGGATGTGGGCCCCGTTTACAGACAGGAGCCCACGGCTGAGCAGTGGGTGCACAGCTGGTAGCTGGGGACCAGACCTTCTGGCTGCAGTGTGTGTGTGTTTTGAGGGTGCAGATTAGAGAGACCCGTCTTTTTAAAATAAACATTGAAATGCACCGCTTGGAGAGCCTGCTCACGGCTCCGGTCACGCTGCCCTGGGTCAGCACGTCTCCTGGAGTTCCTCCTTTAGAATTGCTTTCAGAACCACTCTGTACTTCATGCTAAAGATCGGCTTTTATCACGTCTCCTTGGTTCAAAGTGGATTATCCACCTTCTTCCCCAGAGTTAGTTCCAGCTACTTAACTGTCCCCACCAGCCAGGCCCCTCGGGATTGGCGCCTCGGGATCGGCGGCACCGCGAGTGCAGCGGCACGTGTGCGCCCGGGCTGGTAGCCATTAGATGCCGGCCCCGCTGGCGCCTGGTGAACGGTGAGCACGTCCGTGGCTTGTTTCATTTACTCCCCACGGTGGTTCCGTGTCTCGGGTGCTTGTTGACTCCATCTGTGTCCCGGGGATGCAGAGATGGGTGAGGTGGGGTCTGGGCCCCGGAACAGAGGATCCATTGGGAAGAGCCCCAGAGACAGTGTCTGAGGATACAGAGTGGGCCCCTGCGCACAGATGTGTGGGGGCCGGTGAGCAGTCCAGGCAGGTCACTCACGGTGGATGTGGGCCCCGTTTACAGACAGGAGCCCACGGCTGAGCAGTGGGTGCACAGCTGGTAGCTGGGGACCAGACCTTCTGGCTGCAGGTCTGCTGTTGTCCACGTCAGCTTCTCCCTCTCCTGGTGGTGGTCCCGGGTGGTGTGCGCTCTAGCAGTGTCGTCAGCGCGAATGAATGTGAATGAATGTTTGACCCGTTGTGGCTGATGTGGAGAGGCGCTGGCAACTTGCTGTAAATGCTTATGTTCAGGAGCCGCTCTTAACAGTCGCTTTGTAGTCGTTTTCCCCCGGGAACTGCGGTGGCTCCCTGGTCCTCATGGGAATCAGCTGGGAATGCACTGCGTCTTCCCGAAGTTAGGGCTCTTTCACCCCTAACACGGGCTGGGAGCCTGGCTGGCTTCTCCCTGACACATGAGTAGCGAGAATCTTCTCATAGACTCTCGGCCCCAGAGAGGGGGTCGGACTGCAAAGTCTGCGGAGCTCCCTTTGCTGCAGAGACAGCTCCTGGGCCCCGGGCATCTCCCACTCACAGTTCCTCCCAGAGCTGAGCTGCCGGAGCCGCTGCCCCGCCTGTGGCAGGGCTGAGCCTCGAGTCTGCTTGCCGGGCGTGGGGGCGGCTGGTGCTGACTCCGCCTCTTGTTCCTGGGGCCCGTGTGTGTGTTTTGAGGGTGCAGATTAGAGAGACCCGTCTTTTAAAAATAAACATTGAAATGCACCACTTGGGGAGCCCCCCCACTTAACCCTTCCTCCGCTGGAACTCGGAAGGGTGCGGGTGTGGGTGCGGACGCGGACCTCCTGGGTCGTGCCAACGAGGCGTCGGGAACGGGGGCTCCCGGGTCCTGGGAAAGTTCCTCCCTTAGAATTGCTTTCAGAACCACGCTGTACTTCATGCTAAAGATCGGTTTTTATCACGTCTCCTTGGTTCAAAGCGGATTGTCCACCGTCTTCCCCAGAGTTAGTTCCAGCTACTTAACTGTCCCCACCAGCCAGGCCCCTCGGGATCGGCGGCACCGCGAGTGCAGCGGCACGTGTGCGCCCGGGCTGGTAGCCATTAGATGCCGGCCCCGCTGGCGCCTGGTGAACGGTGAGCACGTCCGTGGCTTGTTTCATTTACTCCCCACGGTGGTTCCGTGTCTCGGGTGCTTGTTGACTCCATCTGTGTCCCGGGGATGCAGAGATGGGTGAGGTGGGGTCTGGGCCCCGGAACAGAGGATCCATTGGGAAGAGCCCCAGAGACAGTGTCTGAGGATACAGAGTGGGGTCCCCTGCGCACAGATGTGTGGGGGCCGGTGAGCAGTCCAGGCAGGTCACTCACGGTGGATGTGGGCCCCGTTTACAGACAGGAGCCCACGGCTGAGCAGTGGGTGCACAGCTGGTAGCTGGGGACCAGACCTTCTGGCTGCAGGTCTGCTGTTGTCCACGTCAGCTTCTCCCTCTCCTGGTGGTGGTCCCGGGTGGTGTGCGCTCTAGCAGTGTCGTCAGCGCGAATGAATGTGAATGAATGTTTGACCCGTTGTGGCTGATGTGGAGAGGCGCTGGCGACTTGCTGTAAATGCGTATGTTCAGGAGCCGCTCTTAACAGTCGCTTTGTAGTCGTTTTCCCCCGGGGAACTGCGGTGGCTCCCTGGTCCTCACGGGAATCAGCTGGGAATGCGCTGCGTCTTCCCGAAGTTAGGGCTCTTTCACCTCTAACACAGGGTGGGGAGCCTGGCTGGCTTCTCCTGACACAGGAGTAGCAAGAATCTTCTCATAGACTCTCGGCCCCAGAGAGGGGGTCGGACTGCAAAGTCTGCGGAGCTGGGTGCCTGCATCTCCCAGGAAGATGGGCAGCTCTGGGTGCGTCCGTCAGGGCCCAGGAGGCCTGGGAAGGTGACCCGTCCCCTCGCCCGGCGCCATGCTGCACGGAGCCTGCCTTTCAAGGGGATCCCCTGTCTCCTCAGATCGACCTTCAGAAGATGCCCTTGGGGAAGCTGAGCAAAAGGCAGATCCAGGCCGCCTACTCGATCCTCAGTGAGGTCCAGCAGGTAAGCGAGGGGCCAGCCCCCGCCAGCCGCTGGTCTCGGGGTGCGCGGTACCTTTACTCAAGGTCAGTGGGTGTACTGGCCACAGTTCGTGATGATGGAGATTTTTTCAGTTTGACAAGTGCTGCTGCGAAAGATGATCACAGAACCAGTGAATTAGCAGTGTTTCCAGGATGAGCTAGGTGGTAAACTTCCTGTAAGCTTGATGAGGAATTTGGTTCTCCTGCTTCATAAAATACTTGAGAATTAGGCTGAATTTCTTTTGCAGTTACTAGGAGGTTATCAGGTAGAAAGCTAAGTAATGTCTTACTTTCATTCATATCCCCTCCCCCCCTCCACAGATCCTTCAAGCAGTTGGGCCGGGGAAATGCTTTCTGGCTGGAGCTGGGGTAGAGGCCCTGACTCGTGGCAGTTAAATCCCGTAGAGCTGGTCTCGAGCAGTGTCCCCACCAGCTGGGACAGCGTCCCCACCCACGGCACAGAGCAGGCACACGGCCGCAGACCGAAGGTTTACGACCTAGAGACGCCGATGTCCCTGTGAGAAGCAGACTGGCCTCAGGCCTGCAGGATGCCAGCTTGCTGCCCCCCTGGCATCCTTGGTCCACCTCGGTGTCTGCCAAGTATGCAGGACCCGTGTCCAGCTCCTCCAGCTCCTTGTGCATGTGTTGAGCACCTTTGGCCTCCGGGGCACTAACTGTCGCTGTGGCAGAAAGGGGAGCACGGCCCTCTGTGCCGGGCCACCTGGACCCCCCGAAAGTAAATCCCGGTCTTAGGATGACGTTCAGCGGGTGAAGGAGGTCAGACTGAACTTTATAGCGAAGGGATTTCCCCTTTTATTTCGTTATGGAAAGTTTTCAGAGCATACAGAAGGTTGAAAGGATTTTACAGCAATTCCCAGGAGCCCAGCACCTAGACACCACAGTTCCCGCCGCGGATCTGTACCCCACGGCTCCTGTACCAAGGAGGCTGTGGGAGGCTGTGTGCTGAGCCTCACGGTTTGAGGCTGGAGGTCCCGCGCTGCAGGGCTGTGACGCCAGCAGGAAGGCTCTGCGCTCACCAGGACCCCTCGGGGCCTCGCTGGCTGCCTCAGCCTGTGTTCGTCTGTCCCTCCCCCAAAGGCCTTGTCCCAGGGCAGCAGCGACTCCCAGATCCTGGATCTCTCCAATCGCTTCTACACCCTGATCCCCCACGACTTCGGGATGAAGAAGCCGCCGCTCCTGAGCAACGCGGACAGCGTGCAGGTAGCGCTGGGTCTGCTGGGCTGTGGTGCTGCCCCGGTGCTGCCCGCGACTCCCTCTCCACCTCGTAGTCCCTCGGGCAGGGCCAGCTCTGGGAAGGCCACTTGCGTGGCGTCATTGTGAAGTGGGGTTCTGCCCACAGTGTGGGGACACCACGGGCAGAGTGGATGTGGCGCTCCCCCTCATCAGTCTGGGGACAGCTGGGAGTGGGGGAGCCTCCCTGCCTCGCAAGGCAGCCAGTGTGCGTGCCACCTGTCACCAGTGTGTACGAGAGGAGAGACGGCCTTCCCACAGCCTCACGGCTTCCGCCTCCCTGCCACAGGGGCCCTCCTTGCATTCCAAGGAGCCCTCCATGGTGTGCACCGGACGGACGACAGGCTGCCCGGTCAGCTGGGAGTCCCCCCTTCACTGTCCGCTCAGGCCGTTACCTGCATTCGGTTTTCTGTCCCAAAACTGGGCGAGCCCTCCTCCCTCGCGTGGCACCTCCCTCAGGGGTTTTCTTTGTCCCTCCAGGCCAAGGTGGAAATGCTGGACAACCTGCTGGACATCGAGGTGGCCTACAGTCTGCTCAGAGGAGGGTCTGATGACAGCAGCAAGGACCCCATCGATGTCAACTATGAGAAGCTCAAAACCGACATTAAGGTAACAGGGCCCGCCCTTTCTGAAGCGTTCTCCGCACTCACCCCAAGTGCGTGGTCCCCAGATCTCCATGTGTGCCCAGTCTCCTGGAGAGCTTCCCAGCACAGGGGCTGGGCCCGAACTCCGGCCTGGCTGTCGCGTCCCAGGTGCTGTCCTTGGAGAGCCGCAGGCCATTTCCCCGACAGCTGAGCACCGGGGTTGCAGGGCACGCGTCCACGCCCAGGCCTCAGTTTGCTGTAGAGACTGGGTCTGAGGGCCTTACAGGACGGTCGTTCCTCATCTAGAGGGGGGTCTAATTTAGAGACTTTAGCGGCCGGAGCCCTAGAAGATCAGTGACTGTGTCCGTTTCAGAAGTGGAAGTGCCTGATGGGCCACAGTAAGACGGTGCGTGGCCATGTCCCCACATGACGCCCGGAGTCCTTGTTCTGCCCTGGGGCTGACCGAGGGGATGTCAGCCTCGGCCTCGGCTCCTGGCTCGCCCTGGTGCCTCTCCACTCAGCCCCGTGTCCCTCCCTGCTCCACGTTCTCTAGAGTCTGCTGAGCCTGGGAGGGAGGGGATGTCAGCCTCGGCCTCGGCTCCTGGCTTGCCCTGGTGCCTCTCCACTCGGCCCCGTGTCCCTCCCCGCAGAGTGACAGGGCCGCGTTCCCTAGAGTCTGCTGAGCCTGGGAGGCGGGTCTGCGTCACTAAAAAGAGCCCTTGCTCCTTGCTTGGGACGAAGCATAGGACTGTGGGTCCGAGCGGGGAAGCATCAGGTGTCGTGTGTGTTGCCCTAGGGGCGCCTTCGCGGCGGGGTGCTCTGGGTTGGTTCTGTGTGAGGGGCTGCTGTGCTAAGAGGCTGGGAAGAAGAGCAGAATTCCTATTTTTCTGAACACTGGGTACGAACATGAATATGGGACACAGAGCATGTCTCATAACGCTCTCGTTTAGCACGGACTCTCTTAACTCGGTGACAGGTAGGTGATGGGCGGGTGCCCTGAGCCATGGTGTGCATGGCCCTGAGGAGTCCAGAGCCCCGCCCTCCAACGCCTCATGGCTGTTGCCGCATTGGCTTGCAAGTCTTGGCTTTGGGGCGCCCCCTCCTGGCCCACATGTCTTACCTCCGTGGACTGGACTGGACCTGGGAGCTGGCTCCCTGTTCTAAAGGCTCTGTTGACCGAGCCCCAGGCCTCTGGTTTCCTCGTAGCCCAAAGAAGGCACGCCCAAGGAAGTGGGGCCGCTGGCCTGGGACCCCCCAGCTGTGGGGCCTGGGACCTGGGACTGGGGCTCAGTCCCATCTGGGCTTCATGAAGGCCATGGTCATGTGACCTGTGCACCCCCGAGCCTGTGCTGCTCTCCCACCTGTGAGTGCTCTGATACCGAGATGCCCTTCTCCCAGGTGGTGGACAAAGATTCCGAGGAGGCCAAGATCATCAGGAAATACGTTAAGAACACGCACGCGACCACACACAACGCCTATGACCTGAAAGTCCTCGAGGTGAGGCTTCCCCCCGCCCGCCGGCCTTCCTGCTCCTCCTTCCAGCCTGGGCCGGGGTGGAAACAAGCAGTTAACTTTGCTTGAAGTGACCAGGGGAAATTTCATTTATTTGTTGAGCTGAAAAATGAGCAGTCTCCTGGTTTGGGGGTGGGTTTATTCTAAAACCTGGTTTTAGAATCAGGAAATATTAGCAGAGATTCAAAATGAAGTGCTTTGCCCTGGCCAGTTTTGCTCAGTGGTTAGAGCGTCAGCCCGCAGACTGAAGGGTCTTGGTTCAATTCCCAGTCAGTTACAGGTTCAGTCCCAGCCCCAGTTGGGGCACCTGTGGGAGGCAACCAATCGATGTGGCTCTCTCTTTTCTTCCTCCCTTCCTCCCCCTCCTCCCTTGCCCTCTGTCTAAAAATCAGCCTAACCGGTGT